AGCCCCCCTGCCACCCACCCACCCCAAATCCTGCCACATTCCTCCTCCAAGTCCCCTAGTACCAAGGTAGTGAGGTGGGGACTGTGGTGCTGCTGAGGGGGCTGCTTGGAGCTGGGTGGGGGGTGTTGTCCCCACAATATCCCACCAACTGCTGAGCTCAGTTGGGGAGGGGGGACATACCTGGTGGATCCAGCCTGATCCCGACCCCCTCCCCATGAATTTCAGCAACCCCTAGGTTTTGGGGTGCTGCTTCCCAGCTGAGCTGTCTCTGTTTGAGGAGGGGGTGTCTGTCTATGTGTGTGTGTGTTGCAGGCTCAGGGCTGCACCAGCCCCCCCCCAGCCCGGCTGCGGGGGGCGAGGAGGTGGTGAGGGGCCTGGCCGTGGAGAAGTTTGACATCGTGAAGAAATGGGGCATCAACACCTACAAGGTGAGATGGGCAGCTCCTTTTTGGGTGGGTGGGATGCTTCCTGGGTTCCTTGGGGATGCCAGACAGCCCGGAGGGCTCCCAGGGAGCATCCCACCCCCTCCCCCCCTCCCCAGTGCACCAAGCAGCTGCTGTCGGAGCGGTTCGGGCGAGGGTCTCGCACGGTGGACCTGGAGCTGGAGGCTCAGATCGAGCTGCTGAGAGAGACCAAACGTAAATATGAGAGTGTCCTGGCCCTGGGGAGGGCTCTGAGTGCCCACCTGCACAGCCTGCTCAGCACTCAGCACGCCCTGGGAGATGCCTTTGCTGACCTCAGCCAGAAATCCCCTGAGCTGCAGGTATTTTGGGGGGCTTTGCCCCACAACCAGTAACCCCCAGGGGATACTGGGGTTGAAGGGTGGGAGCTGTGGTGGGTGTGGGTTGAGCAGCTCCGCTCTGGGGAGGGTTGGGGGTGTTGAGGATGGAGAAGAGAAGGCTCCAGGGAGACCTTAGAGCAGCTTCCAGTGCCTGAAGGGGCTCCAGGAAAGCTGGGGAGGGGCTTGGGACAAGGGCAGGGAGGGATGGGAGCAGGGGGAAGGGTTTCCAGCTGGCAGAGGGAGCTGGAGCTGAGATGGGAGGGAGAAATTCTGGGCTGTGAGGGTGGTGAGAGCCTGGCCCAGGTTGCCCAGAGAAGCTGTGGCTGCCCCATCCCTGGGGGTGTTGAAGGGCAGGTTGGATGGAGCTTGGAGCAGCCTGGGCTGCTGGGAAGTGTCCCTGCCCATGGCAGGATCTGGATGATCTTTAAGGCCAGTTTGGGGTTCAGTGACTGGATGGATGGTTCCATCCCAGCCTTCCCCGTTCCATTTCCAGTCACAGCACTTCTGTGGTTCTGTCCCTGGGGGCTCCCCCCTCCCCAGCACCCACCAGGACCTCAGGAGGGGCTGGGACTGGAGGGGCTGGGAATCCTGGTGCTGGGCAAGGGACCTTGTCCCGGCACCACTGGGGGGGTCTCAGTGGGGCAGCCCCCCCACTGCAGCCCCGCCCCCCCAGGAGGAGTTCGGGTACAACGCGGAGACACAGAAGCTGCTCTGCAAGAACGGGGAGACCCTCCTGGGGGCCGTGAACTTCTTCGTATCCAGCATCAACACCTTGGTCAACAAGACCATGGAGGACACGCTGATGACTGTGAGGCAGTACGAGACAGCCAGGTGGGACAGGGGACATGGGGACAGGGACAGGAGGGGGTCAGGGGAACAGAGGATGGGGGCACAGTGGACAGTGAGACAGCAGGACATGGGGGACAGGAGAGGTGGAACGGGGATAGGGGACAGGAGCCAGGGAAGCTCATGCCCATCAGGTGATGAGTTTGTCTTGTGACCATCCAGGGTGACCTGGACAGGCTGG